GCTGAAAGCTTTCAACGCACGCAAGAATTAAAGAACTTGGAAAATTGATTTATGTATACCCAAGCGTATGTACTTGCATAGTTCTAGATGCATAGGTGGCCTCTTACATCTGTCATTGTATAGACTGCATATATGTATGTATATATATGAATACATATACGTTAATTTTCCTTTTCTTTTTATGTAAGCAACCTTCAAAGACATTATTTAATTAAAATTTTAAGGGCAAATTTAAGTTCAACAATTGAGAGCTGACTTAAACAGTTTCGTTCGTCTTTTCTTAATAACACTGGATCACAAATTTGTGTTTGCTTTTTGTTCCACGGGTGCCCCTATCTATTTTCTATATATAATCGACTGCTAATTTTAATTATTATTTTTTTTTTGAAAAATCGATTTTGATTTTTTATTTCTTTTTTGAAAAATAAAAACATCAAATTTTAACAGTAGAAAAATTAAAAGCCTAACAGGTTCTGTGTAAAACTTTTGCAGTTGTGCTAAAGCCTGTTCTATTACAATTTATGTATAAATAAAGTAAAACTCTAGTACGTTTTTTAATTGGATGAAAAGAGAAGGCACGCCCCTGTTACTCACTTTAGCTACAATTATAACGAATTTTACCTTCTTGCTATCTACGTTCTTTGGTAGCATATAAAAGCTCATATCTCATAGAAAAAAGCTATGCGCATTTTCATTTGACCGCTCATTACTTCTTTATTTATCCATCGATTTTGTTCATTAGTAACTTGATTTTCTTGTAAAACAAATGCAAAAATTTGACACAGAACCTGTTATTGTTTTCACTTTTCATAAAACAAATATCTGGAATGATATTTTAATTTGTCAGAAATTTTTTTAGCACAAATGCAAAAATTTGACTCAGAACCTATTGTTTTCACTTTTCATAAAACAAATATCTGGAATGATATTTTAATTTGTCAGAAACTATCAGACCTATCGAAAAGTGATGTATATGCAGTCTATGTAGAATTTTGTTAGCCTTCATACTTAATAATAATGCCAACGGTTTTTACCCTCCATTCCGCGCAGTCTGCATGATTGTTAAATTGGTTCGTAAAATATACGTGATTAAGTGTAACCACTTTTTGTTTTAAGCTGAATAACGGTACATTGAAAATATTTAGAAAATTTATATAGGAATTGAATAGTGGCATCCACTGAAATATTTTGCTATAAACCAGTGTTATCTTTCGGCAGGATATGCCTTACGCATGTATTAGGGCTGGGCGGCTAGTCCCGATATTCGCTTATTTTGAGAACAATTTATCGAAAGCATTCAAATACAGTTTAGAATACCCGCATAACCGAATAACCAAATTAACGGATATTAAGGATAAGGGATATCCGGACTTTCGCATATACGGTTAGCCTCCGCTCTAGTTTATACATTAGGGTGGTCTAAATAAGCATGTGAAAAAGTAAAGGGGGAATTTTAGTGCTCTCTTCCCTAGGATTATTCTTTAGCTTAAAAAATATTCACTTGCTTTTTTTTATGTCGAAATCAAAAAAACATTTAAAGGTCGCTCAAAGCTTTCCATTTTTTATATGGTTAAAAACTATTTTTAAGAAAATGAAACTAATATTTTTCGATTGGAAAACTCTGTTTCTTTTCAGGAGACTTCCAAAAGTCTTTATTTAACCATTTCTTAATACTAACGATTTTGTATTATTTTGTTTTTTTTTGTTTTGTCGAGACCTATAAAAAATAGCTAGTATTAAAATGGCTAAATAAATAACAGGGTATCATTACTGCAAGTCACCTGAAGGGAAAAAGAGCTTTATGATCGAAAAACTTTGATTTTCAAGAATTCTACACCATTTCTACGAACAATTTTCTTTTTCCGTATAAAATATTTACAAGGAAAACTTTGAGCGCCTTGAGCGACCTCTAAATATTTTATGGTTTCAAAATCAAAAAAAAA